TGCAACTAACATAATACTGTTGTTTTCCATTTTCTACAGATACGTAGATGTCTACCTGATGTRCTGCTGGCATCAATGAATATACTTCATGCAAAATACAAGACCACCAGGTAACGGACAGCTACGCCTAATCCCATCTCTTTCTGCGTACAATTATAGCCTCGTCTCCGGCTACTCTTTGTCAGCTTTCCGAAATCCAAAACGTTGGCACTTCAGAGGCAAGTCACATGCGTGACGTCATGCAGAACAGCAAAGAGAGTAGCCTAGGGACRAGATTTTCCTTTCTTGGTAGCAAAGTCAATTTAATTATGCTTGTATATGTTTAGATCGAGTGGTCAGAGTCCACTGATAGACAGACGAAGAGACGATGGAGGACAGGAAAGGGTAAGAAATACCATTTGAGAAAATCGTCAAGAAAAATATTTGCTGGTTAGGAAATGATTGAAAAAGTACCAACAGTACCCCTCACAACAGCAGTCCTCACAACAACACTAGCAGCAGCAACGACCACAGCAAAAACAGCGAGAACACCTGCAGCTACAGCAGCAACAACAACACTAGCAACAACAATATTAATAGAAAAGATCATAACAGTTATAGTTTTAAAATACTGAAGAGATAACTAGCTAAAAACTAGTGTGAGCTGCGCGTCGGTGTTTCTAATGAAACAGTAATGATAAAAGGGTAGATTTTACACTGTGAAAAGATGAAAAAACTTACTGACGTTTCGGATGCTAGTCCTTCGTTGGAGTAAAAGAGAAAGAGGTGGTAGAAAGGAGTGTTTTAATACTAACTATTTTTCATTCTTTTCTTCTYCTAATAGTTCCGAGAAATTCTTCGACGYCAGGCTAGAGCACTTATTACATTTGCAGGTCTCATTCCATACCGTATGCCAGGGGATACTAATGCTAGGCTAGTGCAGATAGAAGTCCTCATGAACTAGCTTATCGTCCACACATACCCTTGTGTAAGTTTTGTTTCCTGGGGAAATACCAATGCCAGACTAGTACAAGACTTGTTTCGCCCACTCACCCATACCCCTGTATTCACACGATAGTTTGTATACAATTCCCCATRAACTAGTCCATATACCACCTACCCATACCCTTAGCCATAGCATTACTTGAGTTCTTTCCTCTTGGGAAGTACCAATCAGTGATAGACCGATACAAGACTTGTTTCACCCACTCACTCATACCCCTGTATTAATATTCATGATATTCTGGTATAGACGTCTTCATGCACTGATCCGTATCACTTACCCATACCCTTGGCTATACCTCAAGGGTGTTTCTTAATMTTCTTCTGGGAATACCATTGCCAAACTCGAACAAAAACGTCCTTCTCCCTAACCCTTATATATCATGCTTGACAGGGGTATATTGATGTACGGATAGGCCTCGTGTATTARTTTAAAGTAAAGTGTGTAGAGATTGTCGTATACTTAGGAATACCAATTCTTTCCTAGGACAGAGATTCTAACCCACCCACCACCCCCATACTCTATATACCCGTATCTTTYCACTCAAACACATGGCCATGATTGCTAACTAAACGTTTTTGACTGATGTCCAATACTGTACATACTATTTGTATTCTCGAACAGCRATGATCTATTCATTGATTTAATTARTACTTTTGTTACTGCATGCCAATACGAGAAGTATCCCTCTGTCCTTTATGATCACTTGTTATCATTTCTCGAATCCTTACATATTATTACCAAAGRGAACATGCGTGTGCGCACTTCCAGTATGCATTCAACGCTGACAAGCCTCCTGATGTCCAACTTGAGTCAATCAATAATCTGTCGTGACACTTTTAGATATAAAATAACTAATATTAAATCAATATCATAACTAAATATTATCAGGCTAATAGTTATATTTATAAGCGATGAATAACAACTCAGTATTAAAATATATCTTTATTAGTAAATATTGAGTAGAAAAATAYTGGTATTGAGAGCAAACTATGAGACTTTTTGCTGAGTAGCTGTACAATCAAAAGATTACATTCCAGGACTAGTCGGAAGGGCTCCTTCGCTCCTTAAWGWTATACGCCTATTTCAAAAAAACGTCCGTAGAAGATCTGAGATGGACGATTTAAGTAATTGATTTTTTTTTTTTATTAATTTTTTTTTTTTTTTGCTTTTATGTTTTCTGAATAAAATACGAAAAATCACATTTCTAATTAAAAGGTCATGCTTCATATTCCAATCAAGAAGGAAACTACATTGTCCAGCATTGAATATTATATTTTGCAGCGTGTTACTTGGTCTGAGATTTCAGATCTTCGCAGACCGACAACGTTTTTGAAATAGGTGTATTTTAACCTCTGTTAATAAGAACTCCAGCAAATGACCCACGATTAGTGGTATTCATTTAAAAAAGTTATTTTGTCATTGTACTGAGTACTTTAAGTACTGAGTCCCAAATGACGCGAAAATCTTGGACGTTGATTGGCTCAGATTGCAGTTCATAAAAATGCAAAGCCATGATTGCCTGAATTCTTAAATTCAAGGAATCTTAACTACCGATTTCACAGCTTTCCGTTAAGATGTACAAATTTTTAAAATATTCGAATTTCCATTTGTTTATTTACAAGAAAGTTATCGACTTCTCGCCAAAGATTTTGACAATGTCTTCATTTAACGCCGAATATTGACTGCCATCGGATTATATAATATAATTGCAATTTATTTAACTCCTTGGGAGTTATTTTCAAGCGAATGAATAAAATTATGGCCGCCATGCTGGTTCTGACTAAAAGTTTGCCATTCAACCAACATGGCGTCTATTTCGTCAGACCAAACCTTCGATATTTAAATTTCTAAATTTTATGCAGTCAACTAAAGTTTCGAGATTCGATGAGAACTAAAATTACGGCAGCCATGCATGTTGTGAGATAAAAATAATAATATAAAGTTTTTTGCATAAAAAAGGAAAAATTAATTTCCCAAATAATTTAAGAGTAAAGTCATCCTTTCACACGAGAGTAAAAGGATGTAAGACATGGACGCCATGTTGTTTGACATGACAAAAGAATATAAAGACAGTGTTAGATTCAGACAACGTGGCGGCTATGACTTCACATGCACCCCAATGATTAGGGACCGATAATTAATTAGAGGGGAGAGGCTGATGGAAATGGGGGGGAAGTATTATTTTTCATGCAAAGAGAGGGTCACAAATTTGGGCCACTATATTTTTAGAGCGATGGTACTTAATCCGTGATATRAAAACAAAATAGTTATTAACTAATAGTCGCAATTTAGTGCGTATTTGGTCAATATCACTCAARTGAATCAATCTATATACACTTATTTCAATAAAGTTAGTCGCCTGAAAAGCTAMAAAGGTGAGACCAACAAGGATTATGGGTAGTTAAATTTTACATGTTTCAACCGCTTTGATAACTGTTGATGGATTTTAGATCTTTTGCCAGTTACAGTCTCACCTATTTTGAGCATCCTCAAGCTGCAAATTGAATCAAAAGCTTTAATTGTTTGATGTTAAAAGTTTCCCATGATCCTCTGTGATCTCAGCTTTCTAGGTTTTTTGGTGACTAACTTTATTGAAATAAGTGCATATGAATACACAGGAGACATCACATACACAAGAAACATATTAGTCATTGATAGTCATAGCATTGATGAACAAATGACTAACATGTTTCTTGTGTATTTGATGTCTCCTGTGTATTCATATRTAGATTGATTCACTTGRRTGATATCGACTAAATACGCACTRAATTGCGACTATTAGTTWATAACTATTTTGTTTTTATTTCACGGATTAAGTACCATCGCTCAAGGCCCCAGCACTAGGTTTAACCTATCTTACTGTATGTAACCAGGGTTTACGAATTATTCAGTTCTGTGACTTCCCACGAGGGAGAGGTTTTGGAGGCCTTGTTCGTTGACACGATGCTTTTTCTTCAGAACTTGAGTGTTTTTGGGCTGTAGTTTGAATACTTTTGCTATTCCAGGGACACGATGTATCTTGAATTGCTGTATTTRAAGTATCTTGTGTATTTAGAGAATTTTGAACAATTTTGCTACTTTCGAGTGTACTTTTTGTTGCAAATGTTCGTTTTGGTTTAGGAGGTGGATTTGGAGACCGTTTCGCCACGAGAGGCTTCTTTGCAACGGCTGGCCTTTCCGAAGCATGCCGTGTGATTGGTTTATTTGCTGCATGTGATTGGTGCTCTGTAGTAGTCGGGTTATTTGCATCACGTGACGGATCAGATAGATTCTGTGATGTAATTGGTCTAATAACGTCAGGTGACGAAGGACAAGATGTATTTGGTTTATGTAAATCATGTGATCGATTCTGTGATGTAATTGGTCTATTAACGTCAGGTGACGAAGGACAAGATGTAATTGGTTTATGTAAATCATGTGATCGATTCGGTGATGTAATTGGCTGATTAAAATAAGGTGATAAATGTAAGGACGTAAATGGATTAAGAGCACCAATCTTTGATGGTATTGGCTCAGATAGAGCACGTAAGGGTTTCTTTTTTGTAATTGGCCTCTTTGGTAGTGGCTTTGTTATGACTGGTTTCTTTGAATCCTGCAAGCCATCCTTGGAACCGTTTTCAACCTTAGAAGCCACTGAACTTTTCATCTCTGATTCTCGAGAAGCCTCACTTYCTACATTTGAGCTAGGGATTTTATCGTCGTCTTTTACGGTTTCTTTGGTTTTTACATCATTACTCGATTCAGAATCCTTGGCGTTTTCATTTTTCTCTTTTCTTTTTTCTTTTCTCTTTTTYTCCATCTCCATATGTTCTTTCTGAAAATAATGTAGTTCAATATCRTCTATATACTCCATGTCATCCTCTCTACTCGAATGCGTTGTTTGGATTTGCCCAATAATTTTACTGTAGTTGCACGGAGGTTTTTGTTTGAACGGCTTTGATTCTAGTTTTTTYGTTGCCTCTACCTCGAGGTAATTAGCGGGTTTTCTAGGAGGTGGTGGTGCCGGTGGACGAGATTTGACGTATCGTTCGGCTACCTGATCTACTGCTGCAGTGGACACCTTGTCTTTGCAGGATTGCTGTTGAGCAGTTTCYGACGATTCTTCAGGTGATTCTGAATTTTGTGGCTGTTGGTTTTTATTTTTGGATGACAAGGCTTTTTCAAAGAGCAATTGGCGCTCACTCTCTTTCATAGCTATATGAACATGAAGACTCTCAAGGTCCTCAAAATCTTTCTCCAGTGGCTTGCTAATTTGGTCACAGCTTTTGGGTGAAGAAGAAAGTACTTCTGGTTGATCCTTGGAGTCGGCGCTTGCTTTGGTCTCGCCGGCAAAACTTTTTCTCAGATTCTTTGCTCTTCTTTGTGGAGGAGTCGGTGGGGCGGAAGTGTTATTGGATACGGTCTTAGTGAGGTAACAGTGTGCAATGTTAGGTGGAAAGTCTATGTCTTCGTACGAATTGCTTTCAGGTCGTTTCCTTGATATGACATCATGGTGGTGCGAACCAGAATTTATGGGAAGGCCAATTTCCTCGTATGAATCACTTGCAACCCGAACTCTGGGTGAAGGTATTGTATCGCTCTCTTGTGGCATGTCCATCTTTTCATAGAACYGGCCTTGGTCATCCGTACTCGGATTTTTGTCTAGACTTGATTCTATCTGTTGGATTATGTCCACTTCCTCGTACGCATCACTGAAATAATTTTTGTCCACTATTTTGCCAACTGACACTTTTGCCAACTGATTCTTKTTACGAGATGTGCATACCAAGTCAACATTCTCATAATCATCCATTTCATCGCTGTCATCTCCTTTAGTGCCACAAATATCATTTTCATATAATGAGTCGTCTTCAGCATACGAAGCATTCATAGGCACATATGGTGATTCGTTATTCTCATTTGCATTCATTTTTTCGTAAACATCGCCTAATAAAGAGCTATTATTATCAGCCAAGATAGTAACGTAATAAGAAGGATCTGCAACACATCTAGCCATAGTTGTGTAATAAATTCCTTCTGAAACACRATGTTTGGACTCTTCCGCCGAAGACTCTCTCTCGGTACCTTTTGGCTTGATTGTTGCGTCACTATCAGGGACTRTTGCACTAAGCCTCAACTCCTTTAGAAACTGTTCTGTTTTTGCCACAGTTTTACATTCCATGTAACTAGAACCTCTGAGGGTCTCCAACTTGGATCTTTCTTGAGTTCCAATAGTATTAATGCTCTTTGTATCGTTGCTGCATGATGAAGACAATTGTAACGCTCTTGCTAACGTGGACGCTTGTTCAGTTTCGGTGACTCCGTTCTTCTGATTTCTATCTGCGTCTTGCATATCCGAAGAGTGTCTACTTTTTCCATCGAGGTCATTCGTATTTGATGTTTGATTTTGTTTTGCTTTCTCTAAAGGAATYTTTAGCTTTAGTTCCTTAGTGTTCTCATAGTCGATACTATCTTTCCTTGGTATTTCTTGACTGATGTCTTCAGAAAGGGTGGTTCCTCGTTTTCCAAGGGGAACAAGTTTCAATTGCTTGGTGTTTACATATTCAACACTCCCTGTTCTCGGTATCCCTTCAAGTAACTCATCAGAAACTACTGTTTCCCCATCTTTGATTACTCCTGGAGGCTTAACTTTGGGAGTGTTCTCATAATCTACACTGTCTGATCTTTCTCTCTGATCGTTAAAGTCATTTTCAGGAGCCGTTTTTCTAGAAACTTTCTTCATTAAATGAGCAAGTTTGAGTTCTTTGGTATTCTCATAATCCATGCTGTTTACTCTTTCTCTCGGATCGTCTGCATCATTTTGAAAAACCGTTTTTCCAGAGACWCCCTTTTTTAAATGAGAAAGTTTAAGATCCTTGGTATTTTCATAATCAACACTGTCTGCTCTTTCTCTTTTGTCCTCCGCAGTSGCTTCCTCTTTTCTATTCAACTTGTCTTCTGTTGCAGTAGTGTCTTGTTCATCAGCATCAACTGTGATGTCACCAAAGATCTCCTCTAGTGATCCCTCCTGTGTTATCCATGATCCATCCATCTCCACATACTCAACRATACTCTCAACAAAACCATCCATTTGCTCGTAGCTACAATCAATARGGGCTGGCTTTTCGTCATCTTTTCGTCCATCTATGGATTTTTGACGACGCCGTAGTCTTGGTGGTGGGATGGGAGGTGATTCTGGATCACTGCCTTGTCCTTGTTGGGCTGTTGCCTGTGTTTTGTTCTGGTCTTGGCCAGGCGTAAGATTTTGCTCTTTATCTTTAAACAARTGCTTAGGCCTTTCTTTAGGAGGTAGTGGTGGTTGATGGGGAATATCAGGTGGTTTGTAGGCTGGACGTTTCTAAATYGTAAGAATGATTAAATTTAAGCTTGGAATCTGTGACGATGTCACGCACTTTACATATGCCCGTCACGCTCATTGTARAGAACATAGAGGCATTTTTAGTTTAGCTGTTGCGTTTTCTACTTTTTGAAATTTCATGATTTTTTTAAACCGTTTATTATTCACAAGAGGGGGTGGCTAAGCCTCCACACTCGCTAAAGCTGACCTTTTTTTCGATTCCAATRGACCTAATTCWTCTTGGTGCAATGTTTACCATTTTCAGACCATGTGTCATTCCCTAAAGTRTTATTTTTTTGTTAAGCGGTTGCGCATATGCATGAGAAGAAACATGAATATGGATACAACTGAAACGAAGAATCTTATCCTCGAAAGAATAACATGTGGTCTGAAATGGGTAAACAGTGCGGATCAAGAAGAATTAGGTCTAGCTGGAAAACATTCATTCAAAAAAACRAGTTTAATAAACAAATTTACATCAGTTTTTTTATGTGTCGGTCCTCATATTGACGATAAATTGCGTCATCGCATTATCAAAGGATCCACACTACTTTGAAAATGTGATGACGCAATTTATCGTCAATAAGGGGACAGACACATAAAAAAACTGATGTCAATTAGTTTTTTACAATAACAAAATGATAAAAAAACTTCTCGTATTTATTGATCAAAACAACTAACTGAAAGAGCGCAAGCTCGTTGACGTCAGCTTTATCTGTCTGTCCTCTTATTGATGATMAAAACGTTAGCCAATCAGCACGCGAGAAATTTGTAAATTGTTCGTTGTAAAATACAGAATTTAAGGGTCTCTCATTTACCCACCCATAACCTCTATGAGGATATTGACTCCAAGTTTTATATTACTCAACTAAAATACAAACCTAGTACAGTGCATACCATATATCCGTGAAAATCTTTGAAAGAATTTCCAAAAAGTTTGCACAAATTAGTAAGTTCAGTAGATGATAGATCTACAAAACTTTGCACTAATTTGTACAATTTTTTTAGTCATTTACTTCCTATTATAAGATCACTAAGATAAGATATCCAATAGATTATCCTCCAAAAAGTTCTTTCCCAGATCAAATCATRTGTAAAAATACTTAGGTATCATACTGAGTATTATTGTGTACCTTACCAGAGATCGATTATCTTTCATCGTTGCTGTATTTTGATCACAAACACTAGCTGGTCTTGCAGTTGGCACAGAAACAGCTTTCTTCGATAATAGTTTGGGTTTTTCCTTGTGTTTTGTTTCCAACGGTGCCCTAGGGGGTGGTGGTGGTGGGGTTGAATGGCTTCTCTGTAGACCGAAAACGTATCATTTTTCAGTGACCTYAAGCATTTTGTTTAAGCACGTTTCCGATGATTAAGACATTAAATTTTTTTTTTTAGTTTTATTTTTCGAAAACAACATAAAAGCCAGGAAAGGGAGTTTTCTGGGCTTAAGTAAGCCGCTTGTTTATCAACTAACTTCATTAAAATTTATATGRATTATTTTCTGGTCACAAACTGCTCAAACCGGAAGTGGTCCTAGACGGAAGCGCAGAGAGTAAATTATTTTTCACACTAAAGAGCATAGTAATTGATTGACTATGAAGCAACAAATAGTGGCTAAGGAATTACAATATTTATAAGTTCCTTGTCTCAAACTACGCCGGCTTCTTAATCTTCGCTCTAGTGATTATGTTAAAACATCGTCTCGATCAGTTCTTACCTTCTTGTTATTTGTAGGATCAGTCGACGCTTGCGTTGCTGATTTTGTCCTKGTTTTTCCGCTAGCTAATGCCGGTGGCTCGAGCTCAGTTTGAAAGAACTGCCTTACAGGATTCCTGGCCTGGTAAAGGCTKAGTCTATTCAATCTTTCGATACGCTTTAATGTTTTGATTTGACTCTCTTTGATCGTATGTCTTATTCTGTCATACTGGTCATTTGTCTTGGCAGAGCGTACGGTAATGTCTAGATCCTTTGGAAAAACAGCCAGGGTTTTACCATCTTCGCAACTTAGGACAGTCGCAAACACTGTTTCTATCTCGCATTCCCCGACTAAACGTACAGTTCCCAAATCGTACAGCGATGCAACGTTCAACCCGGGTACAGAAATCCSAGACAAACATGACTTGACAAAATGAATATTGACAGGTTCATCAGCTTCAAGGTTGTCCTTTTCCTCTGCATAAACTTCATCGATTAAAAACTCTCTATTGTCTTGAAGCGCTTGAAAGCGACCCTTGAGAAAAAAAGGAAGCCTAACTTCTCGTTCTTCTCCATCATTTATAATTTGTAAGCATTCAAAACAGCCAAAGCCTTTTTGTCTTATAATCTTGAACATGCTACCAGAGGTGATGTCGTGCGAAGGAATGTCACTAAGCGCTCGAAAATACTTCGGAAAGGTTTGAAGCAGTTCCTTCACACTAGTTGACTCTTCAATCGCATTTTTAGGAATCATTTCGACTTTGACTTGGAAATCTTTGGGGATGAAAAGTTCTGTGTCTTCAGCATTCTTGGCTAAGATCTTTGTTTCTTTGTGGAGCGAGTGTAGGATCAGAATTTGTCCTGAGTCTAYGGTTCCTGAGGAAGCATCGCCACAAAAACCTTCAAATACTTTTACTACATGAGGTAGTGATGAACTAAATTGATCCAGAAATGAGCTCAAACTGTGGCTCTTTTCTGACCATTCCAGCGAATCTAGAAGACCATAATCAAACCTACTATGAATCGATGAATCCATCTATCTACACGAAGCGATAAATTCCACGCTGCATTACTGAAAAGTAACAGTCGCAAGATACGTTGTACTTGAGATTCGTCGCTGTTTTTCCGACCCTGACATGTTCTATATTCAATAGTTTACATCAAACCAGGCTAGTTCTTCATCATCGTCTACACCAAGTGTAATATCAGGGTATTAATCCTCTTTTCAACCACGAACTTTCCGTTTCGACGACGCTAGTTCCACCTCCTCGCTTCTAAGCCTAACCCATGACCCTATGATTCCTATTCTTTTATAAACAATTGATGCTACGCGTCCGGATGAAGTATTTTTGCTTTATAAATTTGAATTCCAAGCCTGTAACTGCCAAAACAAACCTTGTCTGTATTTGAATTAGCTTTGACATGTGATGGTTCAAATACTAGCCAAAACTTGGACGCGGAAGCAAAATAAAAAACCTCTTATTTGTTCAACAATAGTACTAAATGTAGACTTTAAGGACGTTCTTAGTAATAAATAAACATCAGAGTATCTGGTAATAAATTTACAACCACTATAAGTAAAATATTTTCAAAGACTGCCTATATATTGAGTAGAATTGCGTGACAGAATGTATTTGTTATGCTGGCATTTGCCAAAAACATTTTAAAATTAAGGAATTGCGCCAATAACGTAAGCACTTGTCACTCGAATGCTTCGTTTTTCTTTTCTTTTTTTTTTTTTTTTTTTTTTTTTTATTTTTTTTTTTTTTTTTTTTTTTTTTTTTTTCAGCTTTAGAAGAGTTACATATTTCTTACTTAAAATCGCATGCGAACTTTCCTTAACAATGCAAGGCGGCAATTTAATGGTTTATGAATGTTATTAATCGTTTTATTATTGTACTTAATCGTATTGACTTCAATTCTTGTCACGCGAACAAGGCGGGCGACGTGTTACTAAAGTAATGTTTTGCTACTTTTTAAGTGTCACGCCATGTTGGCTTAAAATTCAATACTTGTTTTGTTTCAATCTTTATTATTAACTCGCCGTGAAGTTCAGAAACAACATACTATCTCGTAAGATAAAATGTTTCTTTTCCCAAAGGAAGTTTTTTTTACGATTTTACTCCATTATGGCTGTCGTAGAATTCACGATTCCGCTGGGGGAAAATTAACAATTTTCCCTGTTGAAAAGCAGTGTCGGCAATAACAAAAGGTGTCCAAATTTGACTATAACATTCTCACTTGAACTGAGTGGCACTTTATCGATTTCCTGTAGTCAATGACCGGGAATTTAACCTTATTTTTTCTTTCAATGAATCTGCTTTCAGCTTTAGTTTCCTTGTTTTCAAATGACGTTGGAAATCTTGTACGGAAATATCAGTTGTAACCGAAACTTCTTATTCCAAGAACAAAATCAGTGTCTTCTTGTGGAATCTGTCGTGTATAAGCAGACTAAGCAGAAGCGGAAATAGGTAACTAAAGAATGAACGGAAATTCGTCAGTGTTTCCGCGACATTGTTTGTTTATTTGTTTACTTAGACCTAAGGTTGACCAGGGGAAGAACAGAGATGAGTACTTTAGTACTTCAATCAAAATCATGCTCATAAGTCTCCGTTTGGCGTATTCAAAACGGGGTGGTAAGAAATTTGAACTATTTCTGTTTTTCAATCGTTGTATTAGAAAACGAAATTACAAATGACAACGCGGTGGCTGAGACAAATATAATTATGAAATCTAGACCGCAATATACTAGCAAGATCTCCACATTTTTTCGTCGATATATCTTATAATTTCTTTAACTACTGGTTGTTGTTGTTTTTTTTTTTGTTTTTTTTGTCTTGTTTTGTTTTTGTTTTTGTTTTTGTTTTTGTTTTGTTTTTTTGTTTTGTTTTGTTTGTTTGAAACTTTAGACGAACGGAAATAAAACATTTTAAAGAAAATATTCCAATATAAAATTCCCATTTTTWAAATTTCTTTAATTATTAAGCTTACTGATTAAATAATCCCTTACGCTTTGCCTTTWAAAAAATTATGTCACACCCAGTTGGGCGCCGTGTGCTATCCCGATTTAAGGAGAAATGCCGGATCTGACGTTTTTAATTTTTAGTCCGGTGCTGTTTCTTTTCCAATCATACCCTGCAATAGACCATTCTATCGTATTAGCGTTGAGTGTTTTCCCATGCATTTCAGTCAATGTTCCTTCCCTTGAGTATTATTCTTTTATAGTAGTATAGAGGTATATTATAGCATATTCTTTTGTATCACTTCAGAAGATTTACTTATATGGATGGAACTTAAATAAAGCGATTTTGTTCCCGAAAAAGGTAAACACGGGAAACATTACGCCCAAAGTAAAAGGACCATATGTCTTTCAGTTTTGAACAAAACTCTCATCTACGCAATAGGTAAACTCTTTTTCCCTATAACAAGTGGAAAAAGATGTGATTAAGCACCGATTATGCTCGTCCTTAAAAATACCTACTCTTTGTGGATAAAGTTTTTCAATGTTTCGCAATTCTCTACTTTCACATCCCCATAATGCCTTGCGTCTTTGGGGGGTATCCAATCAAAAAACTGTCCCAAATTGAAAGGTTTCTTAATTGAATTTATACTATACCTGCTTTTATCTGTACAATACTGATTATCAATTTTTTCCAAGATATTTTTGCGTGTACAGATCATGAAGAGTTTTGGTCTTACAGAAAATGTATTGACTTACGAAAAAATGTTTAAAATGTACCTTAAACGTCTTCAAACTTCTATCTCTTTCTGTTTTTTACTTCTTCATTTTATCTTTGGATACCAAACAAGGTATTTTCAACATTGTSTGATCAGCCTTCAGCAAAATAAGTGGGTTTTTACCCTCTGGTTACCCCCTAAAGACGCAAAGTATTATGGGGATGTGAAAGTAGAGAATACGTCTTAATGTCTTTTCCGACAGCCGCCTTCTACACCTTTCATTATCTAATGTGTGTGATTTACGCTGGAAACCCAGAGATTAGCTTCAGTTGAGCAAGTAATTAGCATTTGACGTAGTGTCTGTAGTGACTGGTTTAGTCTAACCTAGACAAAACATACTTTGATAAATAATGTCAACTCATTGTTTTAAAATTATATGTTTTATTTAATTGCTATCATGATAGATAACAATGTTTACAGCTGCGCCCAATAATAGCCATACAAATAGACCTAGCTTTTATAAAACCCTGTTATGATAATATAGGGTGTTCCTACTGCTAAGATAATTCTTTCATTGGCTTGCCTGTGGAAGCTAGGCCAAAACAAAGGACTTGTCGCTAGCACTGGGGTCACCCTACCCTACCCTACAGTGTAAATAAACGACCGAACCTTGGCTTTGATGCAATGGCTTCCCATTTCAGACCACGTGTATTTACAAGTCTTTACCATCTCAAGAAGAGCTGCCAAACAAAGAATAATACTAAAGGTAATGACACGTAGTTAGAAATGAGAAATCATTGACCAACCAATATCAACCCAAAATAAATGAGATTTAAACTATATGATATCCATATTAATATTCCTTCTCAGACATTACCGCGGTAATCAAAGAAATAATACTCAAGAGAATGACAGTGAAACGGGAAGGACTTTACGACGAAATATTAGAATTGCAAGGAGGTTTTGTACTATAAAACTAAAACCAATAACGTGAACCTTTTAGTCTGTCAGGTTATGGCATACCAGACTGGCATGCTAACTATACACAATTTAGCTCGACCTTGAGGACAGTGCGTTTTATTTCTCATGAGAGTAAAACTATATACCTTTTAGGAGCGTAATGTTTTCCCCATTTTAGACCCCGTGTCATACTCCTACTCATAATATTCTCCTAATATTCTTTGTCAGAGTTGTAACCATACTCGTGTGTCTTCTCGTGTGCAGCCGTTAAACAAAGAAAACATGCTCTAGGGAATGACACGTGGTCTGAAATGGGAAACATCACGTCCAATGTAAAGAGGTTTATTATTTTGACCTCCATATTTGACTGCGTTGAAAATATGCTGCAAGGGCCTATAATGTGTCATTAAATATTGTTTTACTTTTATAAGTAATTATTTAAGCGATAAAGGCTGCAAAAAAAAAAAAAAAGGAAAAAAATATTAAGCAATAGAGATTTTGCACCATCAAGTGACAGCAGCCATGCAAGATGCAAGAACGATCAATCGTTTTACATAAGATAGGTTTCGATTCCCAAGAATAAAGTGATAATTATATTGTTTTCCATTTTCCTTTGCCGACGGTACGTGATAGCGCAAAACCTCTATATATAGTAGTTTTCGCATGACTTTGAAAAGCTCAGTGCTATAAGCGGGCTTTAAGTTAGCTGATTTTTTTCTCGCGCAATGTGATTGGTCTGACCAAGCCATAACCTTGACGTGACCTTGTCCGCACCATGTTTATGCCATGTTTCGGGTATTTGATTGGATGGAGAGTAAATTATCGACCAATGTGATTGGTCTGGCGTATTCCTCGCCGTGTCACGACCATGTTCGTGCCGTGTTCGTGCCATGTTCGAAAACTGTTCTACAGTTCTAATAGCCACACCGATCGACGGCGGTGCTCTAAATGTTCATATTCTTTGGTAAGCATTCTTATCATCACATAGTTGGCCTCCATCCACCAATAAACTTAACCAGTTTCAACCGGTGAAATTTCTCAATTCTCATCTCAGACAAAATATCCTCATCTAGTGAGAGCAACATCTCTCCATCGATCTGGTTTTCCTGGAAGTATTCAACCAACTGTTCCATTTTTAGTTCCTTCAAACATTCTGCCACTTCGGCCACCCCTAAACTTCTAAGATCATCAGGAATGACGAATCTTGTATTAACAAATTTTGCATCTAGTTCGTTCATTGAATGGGACCGATTTGCTCTTTTGCTTGAGTGTGTTTGTTCTTTTCCTTGCATCAACTCGTTTCCAGATTTATTCTGGGTAATCGAACCTGCATAAACCTTTGGCTTCGGGGGACTGGCCGGTTTCCTTAGATCCAAAAGAGCAGGTTTCCTTTCTCGGGGAATCCTTGGAGGCGAATCCTGTACTTCGTTTTCATCACATCGTTTTTTGATCGGAGCTGAAAAAGGAATAAGTGCCTTTCGTGGGACTAGAAGTTTTGGCCTCAATGATTTCTCGGAATCGACTTTCGAAGTAAATTCTAAGGTATCAGTGCTTGAGCTTTTGTCGCGGTTTAGGGCTTCTCTGGGATCCACAGATTGACTATTGGTCTTAGGGATTGGCAAAGGCCTTCCAGAGAATTTTTTCTTTTCTTTTACAATGCCAATGGTTGCCGCAGCGCTTGCACTTCGTCTAACACTTGCTATGGGCGGTTGAGGTAAAGGAGCTTGGCCGGCCTTCTTTTTACTCGTAGTACTATTATTCCCAGTGCCAGTAGAATACTCGCATTCTTCAAGAATATCGGGTTTTCTACTGCTGGTCCTTGGAGGAGGCTGGGGTGGGATTTTGGCTTCCATACTAGCGGCTTTCTTGGCTAAGGGGTTGTTCCTGAGAAGCGCATCGCTTATCGCACTGCCGAGGGAACTACCCACGAGAGATGCCACCCCTGCACGTGCTCTCCTCTGCGGTGATGTCTTCGCCTCAAAATCACAACTGTTTAGTCTTGCTTTCAGGAAATCGCAGTTCTCGTACACTGYTTCATCGCTGTTCGTTTGGTCGTTCCATGTTTTGTATTTTCTCGTCAGCGTTTTGCTTTTGTCAGTCATGGTTCTGTCTATTTGATAAGTATTTGAATGCTGTCCCGATTCCCCGACTATTAGATTAGCAGGAGCTGAATCGCGTCTCGCGGAAATCTTTCCCTTATTACTTGAAATAATCTTATCTATGTTGTTCACCGCTTCTTTTGCAACAGAACAACTGATATCTTTCATCGGTTCTGGCAGCTCTCGAAACGTAATCTCTTGGTAGATATGGTCAGCTTCTTCATCTTCCGCTGATGTAGAAGCACTCAAATGTTTTAGCCTGTCCATTCGAGCATATTCTTGACGATAAATTTGATTCGTAAATAAACCCGCAGAAATATTCCCGTCGTTCTGAGAACTTCTAGCTTGTCTCGGAGTATCGTACAACGGCGTTTTCGGTGAATCACTACTCTCTTGTGTTCGTTCAGTTGATGTGGCTTTTGGAAAGTCATAAATCCCGTTTCTAATGCTTAAAGCTCTGACCAATGRTGTTGGAGTATAATTGTTAGGAATCACAACTTGTAGTTTCCCCGTCTCGTCTTTTTTAATCTCTCTCTTCATTTGGTCTTTTTGTAGTGACGCAGTTTCAGTTTCTTTAGCGTGACCAGCCATTTCTTCACAAACAACACAAGAATCAGCTCTCTCGTTTATTGTTATTTCTTCGTTTCCTATCCTAGTACAATTATTCGTTTCCCCAAAACATTCAGCGTTCATTTGACGCTGGTTTTCAGCTTCCACCGAAGAACGAAGCGTAATTTCCAAGTTCGTTGGTAATTTTATGACCGAACCAGAATCTTCCAGCGTGCTGGCGATGACACAAGTTTCCGTAAAAGTCTTCTGCAGTTTCAATACTCTCTGTACTGACTCATGAAATGAATTTTTAAATTGATCTTGAATAACATTATCCACCATGTAAATATAATTTGGTAGTCCAAATTTCCTTACAACTTCAGCTATTCTGTATTCGTTTGGATCTAGAACCGCTTGAAACGTTGCTCTGCAATTTTGTGTTACTTTAAAAACTTGTTTGGGTTTTGTCAACGTTGACAGTATAAAACTAAACGAAGATCCGTAGTTCTCGACTGTTTTATGTTTGACTTTCAGTTTGTCATTTCTTGCAAATCCAACTTCCGTATCGTTCTCCGCGACTCGAACAAACCTCACTTTCGAAAGTTGTTCTAAAATCCCGTCACTGCTCAAACGACTTTTAGCAAACTGTTCAGAAACACGATCAACCTTTACTGCGCATGTCAGAGGAAGCGACATTTCTCCCCACTCCTCTCCCCCTTGGAAGCTAATTGCAAACACTTTAGGAACTGTTTCATGTCTATGAAGTATAAGAACGTCATCAACGCTTAGTGTCTTTTCTTCGTTTTCATCGTGGTAGCCTTCGTGTACTTTCACGACTTGTGGTAACTGGAAAAGCTCAAGAAAATCGGATAATTCGTAGACATGTGAACTCCATTTTCCTACTGCTTGGGTACTCCCCTTGACTTCTGCCATGCGAGATGACGATGAGGGCCAGCTAACTTACTTTCGCTGGCTCTACTACTCTGTATATGAAGTGCATGGATAAATAGGATTAGGAATAGAGGATGGAATGACATTACTATAAACATGGCCGTAATGTTTGTTGATAGTAAAAGTTAAGAAACCAAGTTGAAATATATATTTTGTTATTATAAGCAACATGGAGCGCCTATGAAAGCTAGCAATACTGAATAAGAATGAAGGAGTAGAAATAACTTACAATGAATCAATAAACACGTGGAGATAACTAGCTAAGACCTATTGTGAGCTGCGTCGGTGTTTCTGATGAAACCGTAATGATAAAAAGGTAAATTATACACCGTGAAAAGATGAAAAAACTTACTGACGTTTCGGAGGCTAGTCGAGGACTAACGAAGCGCTAGCGTCCTAAACGTCAGTAAGTTTTTTTATCTTTTCACGGCGTATAATTTACCTTTTTATCATTACTGTTTCAATAAATATGTGATGGTACTAGGAATAATTAATAATAATAAATAATTAGGTAAACTGAGTGAGTGAAACATGGATACCGACAGAGTGAAGTGTAGAAAAACTATCAAATTCCCATTCCTGATTAGTGACGTTTAGCAACTGGCTACACTCACTAGAATCATTTGCTTATCCTTAATATATTTTCTTAAAGTAAAGCATTAAGATATCTAAAAAAAATAATATTTATTAAAAATTATTAGAAAACGCATTAATAATGCATGAGGAAAACACAATAGAAATCATAACCATGAAGGTGATTTTATATCGGATATAGATTCGTCTTCATTTGCATAAACTTTAACTTGGATTTTCTCTATCAAACTTGGTTCATTTCGTAAAGAATTCTGTACMATATGAGAACATACATCATGAGTTTTCTAAGCCGTTCAATAAACTCGCAGATCGTGTTTTATCGGGTCTAAAACCACTCGGCTACGCCTCGTGTTTTATACCTGATAAAACACTTCTACTCGTTTATTAAACAGTACATAATATTGAAATTTTTAAAATCAAAGTATTAACAGAAAGAAGTAATGAATTAAGATCAAAAACAAATATTTGTTTTTGACGATGAAATTTTGGCTGCAGCTCGCCTTCCCCACTCCTCCTACCACACTCTCTTCGTCTGCGTTCTATCTTGACTTGCACTATGCATAATCAAAATAAACACCTCTAGAAAGAAAGAACTTCATGTCTAATTCGTAAATTCAACTTTGACAGTAATAGGATTATGGCGAGAAATTTCTTTGCATCAATCTTGTTGTTACAGCGCGTCGTGTTTATCCTTAGAGCAAAAAATAAAACTTTTCTAACAAAGATTCTTAACTCAGGAAAATTTCGTTTTCGCTTTGTTTCTTAGTAAATAAGCTAAGATCTTACCTCAATACGACAGGCTAGACTCCTTTCGCAGGTTTGGCTTCAACATCAAACGTCGTTAATCAAATAATTCTACTAAAAAACAGTAACTATGCTCCTGAGAAGTAGAAGCTTACTTAGGAAACTAAGTAAGAAACGACAAGGCTATTGTTTGCATTCGTTAATATAAGTGAAAGACTTTCGAAAGCTATGTCTCAAGATGTTCACACTTTTTACTGTCGCAGAAGTTGATGCGTATGAAAATATTTGCATCCAATCTTGGTACATAAAACAAATCTCTGCGACTAACTAGAATAGTCATTTTTCTCGAGTTGCGTTGACAAGCTACAAGAACGTAAGAGGTGAAAAATTCCGCAGAAAATGTTATTCTTAACTAAAAGAAATTAAAGCTCTTTGTATTCTAATGGCTGTTCTGAAAACTCTTGAAATTTTCGTCAAACGATCTAAAAATGTTATAACAAACCGATGTAAAAAGTAGATCTATATACCTTTGACGAGTTTACATTTTTCCGCACAGAAAGCGGCCTCTCCGGTCCTCCTCCCTCCTCTAATACCTTTGATCCAAACTAACCAACCAAGACACACTTGCTCCTCTCACTTACCAGGCA